GGGGAGTTTTGGTTTGAGTGCGCGCGCACGCTCCGTGAAGACCACAAAAATATTCAGCCATGAAACAAGATTGCCATGCGTCAATTTTTACTCACGCTGCGTGGGTACCGGAGGGCCCTGGTACGATAGAATCAATGGAGCTACCGGTGCGGTATGTATGGCTGCTAGACAGCCAGGGCACGACTACCGTAGTACTTCCATGGCGTTCGGTACGGTAGCGTTTCACACAAACATTCCACCGCCTAAAAATCTCTCTCGTTCTTGATTTAGGCTCACAACTAGCGCTACCGGTAGCTGTGATCATCATTGGTATTTCATTACAGTAGTTCGAAGAAATTGTTCCCAACCCATACGCCATGACTTCCCGAGACATACGACCCACCATAGCAACAACGGTTGCCTTGATTGTGGGCAGCGGTGCCCTGTGGTATCGGAGCAACAGAAGCAAGCCAGAAGCAGACCCAGACAGCAACGACGACAGCAACGACGACAAGGACAAGGACACCGACGAGCTCGACCTCTCCGTCCTTCCCTGCATCCGAAACCGCCGGTCGGTCTTCCCCTCGAGCTACCTCAAGGATCCCCCGCCGCTCGACGACGCGATCGTCCGGTCCCTCCTGGAAGCGGCCCGATGGGGGCCCTTCCACGGGAACAACTACAAGGGCTGCATCCACCCCGCGAGGTTCGTCGTCCTGGGCAGGAAGGCCGCGGTGGAGATGCAGGAGATGACCCTCGCGTACTACGACCGGAACTGGAGGGAGACCGGCTGGGGCTGCTCCTCCTCGGCCTCCGGCGAGGACCTCCGCGAGGAGGACTACCGAGAGTGGCGGGAGAGGACGCACGCCGAGATCACCGGCCGGTGGGCCCCCTGCTCGCACATGATTGCCATTGTCTGCCGGAGGCAGTCGGGCCCGAAGAGGCTCCCCGAGTGGGAGGAGGCCGCGGCCGTGGCGGCGGCCACCCAGAACATGCACCTCCAGTCGACGAGGTTCCCGGAGCTGGCCTGCTACTGGAGCTCGTGGCACGCGGCGGCCCGGGACAGCGCGGAGATGAAGGACTTTCTGGGGATGGGGCCGGAGGACCGGTGCATGGGGATTTTCGTCGTGGCGCAGAGGGACCCCCGGCGCTGCTCCAAAACCGACCGGCGCAGGCGGGACGCCTCCGTCCTGGAGGTCGAGTGGCGGCCGTGAGCGTGTGGGTGCGGTGTTCCAGAAATTCACCGCCCCATCGCTTCGTGCGTTTCGTCGCACGAACCTTCCGCCAGAGGAAAGATTCACGCTGGCAACTATCGAACTGCTTTGAGTAAAGTAGTGTAATGTGGTTCGAAGTTGTCCTACATTCTAGTATGCATTTGCTATTTACTACTGTGTCGTTCCGCATCGAGCAGAAGCTCGTATCGGTAGCAGAAACAGAATCTTCGGTGTACGCTACTACTAGCTATCGTAGGATACGGTACGGTAGAGGCCGAGATGTCACGAAAGTCGAAAAACGCATGCGTACAGAATTAGTTTTGTTTTGGAATCTTGTCGTCCTTCCACCGCACGCGACGCGACGCGACGCGAGCTTTCTCGTTTTCTTCTTTCTGCTGGTTCCGAAAAATCTGGAAAAACAATCAGCCCAAACGAATGCCCGGTCAACCTTCCGTTGCCAACGGATTCTATTCTATGGTTTTCTGACCATTGTTTCGGTTTCGTGTGGCACGATGGGTTTTGGGTCACGCTGCCTCCTGCTGCGTCGTTCGCCGTTTCGAGGCCGCGGCGGCAGCGACTTTCGTCGGGTGCAGCAACTGCAGCAACCAGCAGTTGCTGCACGGCATCCCCGAAGGCCATCCGACGGGGTCCGCAGTCGGATTCTGTCCACAAAAAGTTCCTCCCGCTCATTCCAAAGCACGGCATATCATCGCATACCATCGCATACTACCATCGCATACCATACCATTGCATACCATACCATCGCAACCGCCACCCCTGCCACAAGAGAAAACGAATGAAGAGCCTCCTGCAACGATTGATCGACGGGTGCCCCGGACGAACCCCCCGGGAAACCGCCGGATCCCCCGCGGCCGCCAAGATGCGGGCCGCGGACCCGTGCGATGCCCGGGCGCTGGTCGACCTCTTTTCCCAGCGGGGCATCGCGAGGCCCGGGGGCTTGTCCGCCGCCGACCTGGCCTTCGACCGGTCCACCGCAATCGATCCCCGCTCCGGGAGAATCCTGAGGCCTGCGCCGGGCACGAGGCCTTTGCCCCCTGGGTCTGGACGAGGCACCTGGCCTACCTCGAAAGCCTGCGGGGGCTCTCCCTCGAACGGTGCGCCTCGGCCACCCTCGGGCGGGACCTGGGATCCCTCAAGGCGCTGCGGTCCCTCGCCCTCCGCGGCTGCGCCACCTCCTCCGCCGAGGGCCTGCTGGCCGGGATCCTCGCCGGGACCCACCGCTTCCGGACCACCCTGGCCCACCTGGCGATCCGGGACTGCGGGCTCACCGGAGACCACCTGGGGGTCCTCCTGAAGGGCGTCGTGCCCTTGCTCCCAAACCTGGAAACCCTCGACCTGTACGGCAACCGCATCGGGAGCTTCCGGCCCGCCGCGGAATCCCTCGACCGGGCAGCGGAAGGCCACGCCTGCCTGCACACGCTCCTGGTGGCGGGCAACCCGATCGAGGACTGGTACCGCTTCGGCCCCACCGAAGCGGACGCCCTCCTGGCGATCCTCCGGGCCTTTCCGAGGCTCTCGTGGGTCACCCACCTGCGGGAGGGAGGCGACGCCCACCCGCGCGTGGAGCTAACCATGCGCACCAACTACGCGGGACGCGTCCTCCTCGGGGCGGGAACAGAGGCAGCAACGGCACCGGAGGGAGGGGAGGAACCCCGCGGACCCCGACCCCCCTCCGTGCCGGTGTCGGCGTGGCCGCGGGTTCTGGAACGGGCCGCGATGTGGAAGAGGTTCATGGATTGCAACGACACCAACGTCACCGGGATCTACTACTTGCTGCGCTGCGGGCCCGCACTGCATTCGTGACGGCAAACCGAACGAACCAAGGGAATCCATTCTTACTCGCTTTGTGAAACGCCGCGTTGCGTCCGTGTGAAACACGAATTGTTTCGCAGCACGGGCTCCATAGTTCAGCGCTTTGTTTGTAGTTCTGGGTTTTGCCGAATAAGAACATTCTTTTCTGATCCATGATGAACTAGTCAGGACACGCAATTCTCGCCATGTAGACAAGAGCGGTGCTACGGCGTTTTTCTTATCGTCTGTTGTGATACCGGAATTCGTTCATCTCAACCCTAGAAAGGGAAGAACCCCCTCGATCACGATGGCGATCAAAGGATCACTGGGGCATCGATCCTCGGCTTGTTTCCGTCCGCGGGTCAAATAAACAACCTACCAACTGGTGATACGACGGGTCACCAGGTGGATCAAGCATGCATGCGGCTTTCCATAGCGCTAGTTCCGGGATCATTGTGGATTCGTGGTGGCCAAAGCTTGCTTTCCGGATCGTCCTCTCCGAATCTCTCTCGTTCTCCTCTAGATGGTGCTTCCCGACCAAGGCCTCCGGTTTTGAGCGGAGCCTGGGTACTTGGCAAGATTTGCTGCGGCAAATGGCACTGATGGAGACATATTCCTCGGATCACCATTTTGTGGACCGCATCCTTTTTCCCTGACACTCTATCTGTCTTCGATTCATTTTTATCGTAGAACGTGGTGACGAGCACAAATTGCACTTTTGCACCGGATACGAACCGAGAACAGTGACCGGTCTTGAGATATACTGTAACGGGACACAGAACTTCCAATTTTTTGGGTCCTAAGAAACGCATAGCATATGTTCCACCTAATGAGACCTAGCGTAGTGCACATAGACTAGTTCCTAAATTGTATCAATAATTAGATCTTGACGCTGTGTTTCTTCCTTCCCAAAAAAAGAGGTAAGACATCGGGCTCCCTGCCAATGACTCTCGTGCCAACCAGACGAAGGCAGATGCGTCCACGTGGACTGCAACATGTATACATACGTTCATCACGTAGAAACTCCAGGTGTTGTACGGTTGCCACTTCGGCAACCACGCTGAAGCTCATAGTGAAGATACCCGTGCCGAGATAGATTCCCCGGCGATCGGGTGCTCGGATGACTTCGGGCACGGTCCCCCACTCCTCGAGCGCGAACCCGGGTTCCTCGTCGGTATCAACGCCGTTTCCATCGGGCGACACCACATTGGTCCACACGGGTGGATCCTCCTCGTCGAAAGACACGGGCAGCGACACCAAACCCTGTTCGTCGTCGGTGGTGAACAGAGAATCTTTGATCCCCCATCCAACCTCCTCTTCGAACTTTCTCATGAACTGGTGTTGTCCTTGTTTGCCTAGATAGATGTTCATCCACGAGGTACCGTGGTTCCTCGCGGGAACTCCTTTCTTGGTGGTGACACCAAGGGCTTCGAAGCAGATGTTATCGATGGCAAAATATTCGGAAACTACGTCATGATCGTTGATGTTGTAATCGCACGTCACTCTGGCTTTGAACTTTGATCCGGGGCCATCGTCTTTGGCTTTGTAGTGGCTGCTGTCTCCCAGATCGTGGAAGGTGTCCATTACAAACCTAAAATTGGGTTCATCGGTGCGTCCCAAGTGGTCGGCGAAGCCATCGACGATGTGCTTCAGCACTACGGCGTCTGGACGACGGATGTTTCGACCGTTGTAGTCGGCCAGGTTCCTTGCTAGGTCGTCGGTAATCCTGCTCGCACCAAATGCTGCATTGATCTCGTCCATGGCAGCCCGAGTCCCAACTCTTCGGGTGTTTCGGTTGCCGGATACAGGTCTCGCAGCTCGGTGGATACTATCAGAGAACGAGGCAGACATTGCGTTTGGTTGTACGGGAGTTAGGTGTAGTCGTAAGAAACGATAAAAGAACGATAGAGTAACGTGAAACTAATTTGTTAGTGTTCGAATTCTTTCCGAGTTTGGACACGGTGCGATCAAGAATCCTCCGCGGAATTTGGTGCCGGTGTCGATTCCACTTTTCTCGTCTCGTCTCGTCTAAACTCGACTCGTCTAAACTCCACTCGACTCACTCGCCGGTCTTGGGCTTTTTGTGGCTGCCGGCCGGTGGGTCGGAGACCCCCGTGCTCCCAAAGCCGCCGGCGCCCCGCCCCGTCTCGTCGAGGTCGGCGACCTCCTCCACGGCCGCCATGCTGATCTTCTCGAGGATGAGCTGGGCGATCCGGTCCCCCTTTTGGACCTGAAAGTCCTCGGTGCCGAGGTTGAAGAGGACGACGCCGACGGGCCCCCGGTAGTCCGCGTCGACCACCCCGGCCCCGCAGTCGATCCCCTTCTTGACGGCGAGTCCCGACCGGGGGGCGATCCGGGCGTAGGTCCCGGGCGGGCAGGCGATGCTCAGGTCGGTGTGGACGATCCCCCGGCCGCCCGCCGGGATGGTTTGCGGCCGGCTGGCCGCCAGGTCGAAGCCGGCGGACCACTCGCTGCCCCGGACCGGGAGGGTGGCGTTCTCCGAGAGCTTCTTGACGAGGAGCGTGTCGGGCATGGTGGTGTTGTGGTGGTTGTTGTTGTGGTTGTGGTGGTTGCTGCTGCTGCCGATGTTGTTGCTGCTGCCAATGTCGCTTCCGTGAAAGGCGGAAGAGGAGGAGAATAGGAGGACCGACGTCGAGAGGGACGAGAGAAGGCTCTTGCGCTCGGCGGTGCTTCGGGTGGAGAAAACGAGGGAAAAGGGGAGAAACCGAATCTTGGTGGGGCTCTTGCGTGGGTGGGATGGGTTGGGTTGGGCTTGTTGGTTGGCTTGGTTGGCTAGTTGCTTGCTTGTTGCTTGCTTGTTGCTTGCTTGTGTTTGTGTCTGTGTTCGCGTTCGCACCGAGTGTTTTTTGATGGAGCGAATGAAAGTAAACTACCGGTATGTGTTGTTGGATCGACCGGTTGTGTGTTGGTGCCAGACGGCCGAAAACCAAAACCGAGGTTCTCCTGCCTTTCTTTCGGTGTCAACGAAACTGTTACTACAATACTAGCGCGCCACAACTACGGCTCTAGTTCGAAACCTTGGATCGGTCCCGGGCAATGCAATGCTACGGCATCCAATACAAAACTACCGTACGGTACGATACGATACGATGCTTTCTACGGTAGATTGTATCGGACTTCACGTGGACGCCTTGTATGTCACGCATAACGGTACCGTACTCGTACACGTACCTGTAGTTACCTACCGTACTATGGCGCGAACCGCGCCGGGTTTTGGTTCTGCACGGACAGACGTCTTTCCCCCGGACATTGCGAGCAAGCTCCCAATGCTTTCGCGCAGAGTACGAGTACGAGTACCATAGTACGGTATGTACCGGGGAGATACGTACCGTAAGAAGCACGTACCCGTACGTACGTACCTTGCCTGAGTACGCCAAGCACGGGTCGTGAGCACAACGCCGCGTCCGATCCGGTTGGGGCCTTTTTCTTTTCGAAACCCCGAACCCGCGCAGCACCAAAAAACAGTTAACGGTCGTTTAGCGACCGGGGAACCACCGATTGGGGGGAACCGGAAGCAAACCTCGGCCGTCCCCCTCCGAAGATGCTGATGTTGCTCCTTCCGGGTTTCGCTTCAACCAAAGGCAAAGACAAAGTGTAAGACAAAGGCAAAGACGAAAGACAAGCACGAAACCCGTAACAACAACAACGGCAAAACCAACAACAAAACCCAGGGACGAGACGGGCCGATATCGATAGCGATAGCGATAACGATCGAGCGATCGATCGTTGTGTTCACCACCGCCCTCGAACGACCAAGCAAGGCAAGGAAAGGAAAGGGAAGGGAAGGCACGCCACAAAACACCACCAAGCTCTGTACCAGCGAAGCAAAGAAGACGCAACACCAAGCCAAGCAACGCAACACCAAGCAACGCAACGCAACACAACACAACACAACACAACACAACACGACCAAAGCCAGGACAACACACGCGCACGCGCACGCGCACACACAAACGCAAACGCAGACAAGGAAACCGCGCGATGGAAGACGGGTGGGACATGGACGACGACGACCTCGTTGCCGAGTTCGACGACTTCGGGCACGACCCCGGGACCACGAACGGCGCACGACCGGTCTCCCCTTTGGGCTTTCTCGGCGGATCCCTCCTGGACGACTCGGACGACGACGACAGCTTCATCCCCGACTCCCTCCGGGACTTTCTCCAGGCCGCCGACAAGAAGCTCGAGAGGGACCTGGCGGGCTTTTTGTCCCCCGAGAAGGATTCCGGGGATGCGGGACGGGAGAACGAGTGCGAGCGGGACGATTGGTTGGAAACGGAGGCCGAAGAGGACCGTCTCTTGCGGTCGAAGCAGAAACAGAGAGAGGAGGAGGAGGAGCGGGAACGCAGGCGGCAACAGAGCCAGAGGGAGGCCCGGGAAAAGGAGGCCCTGCTTTTGCGGGAGAAGGAGGAGGAAGACCGCCGCCTGATGCTGCGGAGAGAGCAGCAAGAACGGGAGCTGCGAGAGGCCCGGGAGCGAGAGGCGCTGGCCCTGCGCGTGAAAGAGGAAGAGGAGCAGCGACGGAGGGAGGAGGAAGAGGAGCAGCGACGGTTGCTGGAACTGCAACAGCAACAAGAACGGGAGCGGCAA